CAGGAACAGGAACAGGAACGGGAACGGGAAAGGGAACCGAAGCAGGAGCCGGAACGCAACATGGACGACGACGACGACAAACTGGTCTCGGACGAAGTGCATCTACGCCAACTGAGCTCAACGCCGGCCTCGGCGCTGCAGCAGCGCCGCCAGAGCAACAGCGTGACTCGCTCCGCGCCACCCGARCTGACGCAGCGTGGCCCCAGCGTGCAGGAGCCGGAGAGCGAGGCGGAGCAGGGCGTGGTGCTGCGACGGGCCATGGGCAAGGGGGCCATTACCTTGGCACAAATAGACGATCTAAGACTGGAGAGCGACGACGACGACGACGAAGAGGATGACGTGAACGACTACGACGATGTTGACTGTGGCCAGGGCTTGAGCAATCCCGCAGCGCAGACCACAAATGATGAGCAGATTACAGCCGCAACAATGGCAGCTACAGCCACAACAATGTCAGCCACAGCCACAACCACCGCAGCAGCAACAGCAGCAACAGCAACAACAACAACAACAGCAGCAGCAACAGCAGCAGCAACAGCAGTAGCAGAGGTAAGCTTATTGTGCGGAGGCACTTAGGGCTAATTAAAAGCTAGACTGAAACAAAAAAAACAGCAGGAAGCGGCCGGCAGCGGAACGTGTACGCCAACCACTCTGGACATGTCCAAAATACCACGCCTACCCGGCGACGGGGCACAGATGGACGACAGCGGCGATCTGCCCCACTCGCTGCAGGCCTCCGCAGCCTCGATTTTATCCAATTTGCGCAAGAAACAGCAGGCAATGCTCGCAGTYGGCAGCAACGTCGGCGTCGGCGTCGGCAGCGGCGCCGCCATAAACGTTGACCGACCTGTCGCCGGGGCCATGGCCAAGCAAACGCCGCGGCGAGTGCAGTCCGTGCGCATCGTCGAGGACAAATCTGGCTATGGACCCAAGCGACGCACCGAGAGCTGCAGCATATTCGGCAACAGCAATTTCGGTAAGCCCAATGACAAAATATCATGTTTATATCAAGTCTCTTTGTAAGACCCCAATTGACGGGGAAGAAGAATCGTGTGCAACACTTGCATTGCCTGTTACGAGGCTGGGTAATAAGCAGAGGCAAGTGAAGAACTTTCACATGGATATTGCTAGGCAAAGTTTTTCAAGACTAAATTTAGTCAAATGAAAAAGGAAGAACTTAATTCGAATCGAGTTCAGCCTCCATTCGATGCATATCGAATACGATATGTATATCTAACAGAGGATAATTGGGTATTTAATTATAGAAATA